GTACTTCTAAATAAAAACACATGAAATAAAATTAAAATAAATAATAATTTTAAAGAAAACTTGTTTGTTAATGTGTTCATATGATGAGAAATCTTTTCTACCTAAGTGCTTTAACTTAAAAGACAAGAGAAGGAACAGGAGCCAAGGTAGATAACAAGATGGAGGGTGGTGGGGAATGTCAGGAAAAGATGGAAATCCATTAGAGACAGGCCGAAAAATGGCAAACAGAAGGACGAGGGGGCCTAGCATGTTTTTTGATCTTGGCACAATTTGGTCTATACCCAGTTTTACAAATGATCACACTAGGTGAAGCATCTGATTCTGTTGTGGAATGTAGATGGCACATATAAAACTGCTACTTTTTCTACTAATTGTCCTGAAGTGTACTTGTGACTCAGTTTAGCCAAAAAGACACAAGGAAAGTCAACTAGGAGGATTCTAAAAAACATTTCCCTTCTTGATAAAAGATAGATCTCCAAGGAGAAAGCTTTTTTGCTCCTGTTTTTATCTTACAAAAATAAGGGAGACGTTTGCTGACACCCTAGATTGTGGAGCTTGAGTCCTTGAAGCCATCGTCTAGGAGCTACACCAACCTTAAATGGCTTCTTCTTGACTTTTTATTATGGATGATTAATATGCTTCTCTAATTTAAGTCGTAGCTACTGGGAAAACCTGTTACTTGCAGCAGAAATACGCTAATTGGTACAGAGGAACATTGGGGTAAGGATGGATGATCAGAAAAAGCTTCCCGGAGAGTGGTTTGGAAGTGGAAATCTGAAGGAAAAGTAGGAATTAATCAGGTGATGTGGTAGAAAGAGGAAGGAGAGGGAAGTTTTCCACTAGAGGGACCAGTTTGGGAGGAGTACAGAAGAGAGCATGGTGCATTTGACAAATCGAAATACATTGGGGGCAGAAATACTGGCGGGAGTCAAGTCACGAGGATCTGATGAAAGCATTTGGACTCTTCTCAGGGCATCTGGAATCCATGGAAAGGTTATAGTGAAGGAAGTGACATAATCAGGCTTGAGTTGAAAAATATTACCCTGGTGAATGGATTGGAAGGAGGTGAGAGTGAGTGTATGGAATCCAATTGGAGGTCATGATCGTAGCCTAGTGATCAGAGATGATGATGGTTTGGACTGGTAGAAGGGGGTATTGGGGGGGAATGGAGAAAAAAGACAAACTTGAAAGATATTAAGATACTTCATAGTAAAACTTAGTGACTGGTTACGGGATGTGAGACAGAAGTCAAAGATGGTGCCCAGAGTTTCTGGCTTGGCCAAGTGGGCAGGTAGTGGTAAACTGACAGAGAATACAGGAGGAGGGGCAAGATTTAGGGGGTAAGATGAGCTTAGCATGGGACATGCTGTCTCTGAGATGGAACAAGTGGAGATGTCCAGCAGGCAATTGAACAAATGAGTCTGATTGATTGATATTTGGGGTAGATAAATGGATTTGGATCATTGCATGTGAATGTCATCAAAGTTATAAAAGCGGATGGGTTTTCCTAGGGAGAGGGTGAGGAATGGAGCAACCTAGTAGAGAAGAGGATGAGGGAGCTCTAAGGCTGGACCACTGGGTTGGAATCTGAGCTGCTCTCCTCATTAACCATGTGACTGTAGCCATGTTACTTAATCTTTCTAAGCCTCAGTATTCTTTTTTTTTTTTTTTGAGATAGAGTTTTGCTCTTGTTTCCCAGGTTGGAGTTCAATGGCGCGATCTCAGCTCACCACAACCTCCGCCTCTTGGGTTCAGGCAATTCTCCTGCCTCAGCCTCCCGAGTAGCTGGGACTACAGGTGTGTGCACCATGCCCAGCTAATTTTTGTATTTTTAGTAGAGATGGGGTTTCACCATGTTGATCAGGATGGTCTCGATCTCTTGACCTTGTGATCCACCCACCTTGGCCTCCCAAAGTGCTGGGATTATAGGCATGAGCCACTGCGCCCAGCCCAAAGCCTCAGTATTCTTATCTATAAAATGAGAACAATGAAACAACCTATCTCATGGAATTACCGTGAGGACTAAATAAATGAATATATAAAAAGCAATCTGAACATGCCTCAACTTCTAGGGGATAACAGTAGTGATCTTAATAGCATTCAGGGCTGACTTATGGCTTGGGCAGAGGAGGCACAGTGCCTAGGGCTCACAAAATGCCTTAATTTTTTTAAATCAGAAAAAAAGACCTTTTAGGCTAAATAAAATGCTTTAATATATGATATTAATATATTTTTCTTTGTACTCACATAGTGTTAAAATATAACTTTTTATGGTTTTTCATGGAGGAGGGAGGAGCCCACAAAGATAAAAGTGCTACGGCCTGTGGATGTCAAAATGTGGCCCTGTTAGCAGTGATGAGACAGATTATAAAGAACAACACTTTACTGTTGGCAGAGGCAGAGGACCCTACAGAAGGGTCTGAGAAGGAGGGGCCAGAGACATGGGAGGAAAGCTAGGAGAGTCTCATACTCTGGAAGCCAAGGGCAGAGAGGCATTGAGAAGGACTCTGTGTCTCAGAGGGTGGGGGGCAGGCACGGTGGCTTATGCCTATAATTTCAGCATTTTGGGAGGCCGAGGTGGATCATGAGGTTGGGAGTTCGAGACCAGCCTGGCCAACATGGTGAAACCCCATCTCTACTAAAAATACAAAAATTTAACTAGGTGTAGTGGTGAGCACCTGTAATCCCAGGTACTTGGGAGGCTGAGGCAGGAGAATCGCTTGAATCTAGGAGGCAGAGATTGCAGTGAGCTGAGATGGTGCCACTGCACTGCACTCCATCCTGGGCAACAGAGTAAGCCTCTGTCTAAAAAAAAGAAAGAAAGACTCTATGTCAAATGCTGCCAAGGGGTTAGGTAGGAAGAGAGATACCCAGTGGATTTAGTGACAAGAACCATGGTGCTCTTGATGAGAGAGGTTTCAGCAGCAAGATGGGGAAGACAAATTGCAATGCTTCGAGGAGTGGCAGGAAAATAAGAAAATGGAGATGACGGGTTTAGGGCATTGCTCGGAAAGTTTGGCTTGGACAGAAAAGCTCTTCAAGTGGGGGCACCAGCTAGTTTGCTTGGCATCCAAACATGTCTCTGGCTAGTTCCCAGATACATGCAAAAGTGTTTAAAGTCATGATACTAGGGGGTCTAGTGGCTCTTGTACCTTAGAGCTTCAGAGGGATAAACTTGGAGGAGGCATTGCCTGCCCACGAGTCCATAGGCCAGTAGTTGAGTGATGAGGTCAAGAGCCCAGGCCTAAGATGTTCACCTGGCGTGTCTATCAGACCCTTCTGGCCCTTTCAACTCCAGTCCTAGATGTATGACTCACAAAGAAAGTTTCCTGTTGGAGTTTTTATTTTATTTCATTTGGTTTCAACCTCCCACAAATTTTGTCCTACTTTTTAAAATGTTTTTTGAGACAAGGTCTTGCTCTGTCACCCAGGCTACAGTGCAATGACGCAGTCTAGGCTCACTGCAACCTCTGCTTCCCAGGTTCAAGTGATTCTCCTGCCTCAGCCTCTCGAGTAGCTGGGATTATAGGCACCTGCTATCACACCCAGCTAATTTTTGTATTTTTAGTAGAGATGGGGTTTTACCATGTTGGCCAGGCTGGTCTCAAACTCCTGACTTTGTGATCCGCCCACCTCAGCCTCACAAAATGCTGGGATTACAGGAGTAAGCCACTGCACCTGGCTGTCCTATTTTAAAAATTAAAATAAATAGACATATCATGATCATGGAACTTAGAAAATGCCTTGCAGTGGCTACCCCTTCTCCACTGTTGCTCCTAGGTAGTGTTGGCACAGTCCCGGGACCTACTGAGAGAGGCCGTGGGAAAATGTGGCTCCCTCCTGGTCCATCTCCCCAACAGAGAGGTCCTTCAGTCCAATACAGTGCTGGTCAGTATGGAAATGATTGCCCAAGAATACCTGTGTATTTTTGCCAGTGTGGCTTGCTGTCTTGGGGGACCCTCCATGGTCATATGATAGCTACCCAGAACATCTTCCAGTAGCAGTTGCACACCCACTAGTTCTCCAGGAGCCACCTTGCAGTCATGGTCACTCAGCCCACAGAGGCACAGCTAAAAAAACAAAAAACCTTCCATTTGAAGACCACATACATACTTTACATACAGTTTTCAAGAATAAAACTAGGAGTAACTATATTTTCAAGAACCCATTCTCTCAACTGTTAGAAAATCCATAAAAACCAGAGTAACATTTCTAAGTTAAAGTTTTCTTCGAGCACATCAGACTTTTGGTTCTGTATGAAAATGCCAAGTTTCCAGCCCTTACGGCAGATCTGTACATGGTGAATGTATACTGTGATATCAATTTCCCCTTGAAAGTACAGATACAAACACACATATGCATAGGGAAAACACCAGGGAAAAAAACAAAATGTGAACTGGAATTGTCTCTTAGTTGTGGTACTATGGTTGATATTTTATTTTATTTTATTTTTTAAGACAGAGTCTCACACTGTCACCAGGCTGGAGTGCAGTGGTGCAATCTCAGCTCACTGCAACCCTTGTCTCCTGGGTTCAAGTGATTCTCACGCCTCAGCCTCCTGAGTAGCTGGGACTAGAGGCATGTGCCACCATGCCCAGCTAATTTTTGTGTTTTCAGTACAGACAGGCTTTCACCTTGTTGTCCAGGCTGGTCTTGAACTCCTGTACTCCTCTGCCCACCTTGGCCTCCCAAAGTGTTAGGATTATAGGCGTGAGCCACCATACCCAGTCACACGGTTAGTTTTTTAAGACCATTTTCACTATTTTACTAAAAAAAAAAATTTTACTTATAGATAACTTTGAATATATAGAAATGCAAACAGATAAGTTCCCATCACCCAGCCCCAACAGGCACAACCTGTGGCCAGTCCTACCCCACCCCATTCACTCCCTACCTCCATATTGTTTTGAAGTGTATTTATGGTTGATTTTCATGTTGTTCTTAATACTTTTCTATGATTTCTGTTTTTAAAATTAAAAAAATATTAACCTAAATGATCAAGGGAAAAACATTTAATAATGAAAAGAATCTAACCAATTTAAAGGAAGTTAACAGTGAATAAGAAAGCAATGAAAAGAAATTCTCCCTATGAGTCCTGTTTTAAAAAGTTCCCTTCCCACTACTATTTATAGACAGGTCAGGAATCACACATCTCTAAGCCACCAGCCTGGGAGTTTCTCTAAGACACTCAGCCCATGACTGGAAATGACTGGCCATTCTCTCGGATCACTACTGCCACAAGAACTGTAGCTGAGTCTATAATCCAGGCCAATGCCAATTGAGAGCAAGCTTCCCTGTGTCATAAGAAAATGTGACTCACCTTGTGGACCAGGGTTTATAGCTTCAAAAGTCAAACACCCTGCTTATCTTACGCATTATTCATCATGGGTGAGAGTAGGAGGATCTGACCTGTGGACTCAATGGCACCCATCTTTGCAGTCTGCATTCAGTTCTCTCTGCAACAATGGAGAAGACCTATCCTACCTGCATATTATATTCTAGGGCATCTGGACTGCTACTTATAACTGGGAATGGTCCTCCATCTTCCAGAAATATTCTCCAAGGGACCAGCTCAAATGCCTAAGAGAACCAAATAATAAACATGAAAATAAACATAACTTTGTGTTCAAAATTAATAGATATCTTTATATGAATAGGATATCTGTGTCTGTACCCCAAAACACTTTTGGATGACTTATTTATTATGTGCAAGTATTTCTTGATAGTTCCTAGTGAAATAGAAGAGAGAGTAATAATCTATTTTTTAAATTGTTTTCTCAACAGGTGGCGAAACACAGAATAGTACTTAAGATTTCAGTGTAACTAACTGGCACCAGTGTTCAGAAGTTCCAGAGCAGTATAACACCAGTGGGACATATTTAAAATCAATAAAAATGAATTTACTCAAATGCTCTCAATATTAGGAACATTAAAAAGTTGTCCTTCATCTCCATTGTGCTCCAATTCTAGGTAACAACTCAAGACAACTGCCACAGGGTTTCTGTCTCCTCCATATCACTAACCAACAGCTAAGGCATCCTCTGTCCCTTGTGATACCATGTGCAGCGCTGAAGCCAGTGGGCCTGACTTTCTGACCCCATTCTACACTTTCAGACCAGGTTCTGGTTTTAGTCAAGTTGTGGAGTTGGAATTAATTCTGTTAGCAAGGAGCCGGGACCCCTGCACCCACCTAATCCCAGGCAACACCCAGAAGTGGGAACAGCAGATCCAGTGGTCATGGTCCAACCCTGTTTTCTGAGTCTAAACGAGGGCCGAGGCTTGGGCCAAAAGTCACGTCTTGCAGTCACTGAAGGTAGAAATGTGGGACTTAATTGAAGTTGATGTTGGTATCACTTGGCTTAGCATTATAAGATCAGAATGTTAAGTTGGAAATTTTGGAGTCAAAAGACCAGGGTTTGTGAGGTAGTTTGAAAGAGACATCTGCAAGTTCTCTGATATACCTCCTATAAAGAGATGGAGCTTAATTCCCCTCCCCCTTGAATGCATGACTCGCTTTCGGTGAAAAGAATATGGCAGAAGTGATGGAGTCACTTCTGAAATCTGGTAACAGAAAGACTGTGACTTTTATCTTGGATTCTCTCTTGGACTGTTTGTGCCGGAGGAAGCCGTCTACTGTATTGCAAGGGAGCTCTGTGGAGAAGCTCACGTGAATAAGCCTGGAAGTGGATTTTCTGGTGCCCACCAGCAGCCATAGGAGTGAGCTTAAATGCAGATTGTCCCCCAGTCAAGCCTTGAGATGAATACGGCCTTGGCCAACATCTTGACTGCAGCCTCATGAGAGACCCTGAGCCAGACCTACCCACCTAAGCTGCTCCCAGAGTCCTGACCCTCAGAAACTATGTGAGATAATGTCTATTGAATGTCTATTGTTTGACTCTGCTAAACTTTCGGGTAATTCATTATGCAGCAATAAGTAACTAATACAGCTTATGACCTGGTCCTGCCATGACTCTGGAATAGTCTGATCTCTGGCCTTCCTGAAGCTTGAATTCTTTGGTTGTAGAAGGTGGGTAATATTGTTCCTGCCTAGGAGCAACAATAGTTGCTGGGATTACCTTCACTAGCAGGTGCTATAACAAGGGCTGTTGAAATCCAGCTGCTGACTTCATCTATGTATTGTAATTGCTATTTCATGGAGAAGATTGTTTGTTTTGCTATCAACTGCGAACTGACAAGCTATTGCCCCAAGCAGCCTGATGAGTGTTTGGAGGCAAAGACCCTGATTGGGAATCACAGCCAGCTCTGGGGCCCAGATTGTTCCACTGCGTGAGCGAAGCAGAGCAAGTGAAGACAGATGACATTAAAGCCTTGAAAGCCCCTGCAGAATCTAAACTGAATGGAAACAAACTGACTAAATCCCCTACACACAGCATACCATTCACAGTATAAAAATACATCTGAAACATACCTGGAGGCTCTGTGGATCCAGTGGCTGGGGCAGGTGGAACTGCGAGGCAATAATGCTCTTCCTGAGAGAGTTGCTCAGTGCTGGTAGCCCATGGTACATGCTGTCTGTGACAGACTGGTAGGCAGGAACGTTTCCAGCTGCCAAAAATGTTTCTCTACCAAAACATAGAGGGGACACTTCATTAAAAGCAGTTACTTATACTTCTTTTTTTTTTTAATTGTAATAATATTTTATTTAACACAGTCTACCAAAAATATTTTCAGTTTAATGTGTAGTCAATGTAAAAATGGCTTTTGTGATATTCTACAGTTTTTTTGTCCAAGTAGTCAATATCTGGGATGTGTTTTTCCCTGACAGCACATCTTTATTTAAACTGGCCACATTTCAGATGCTGAATAGTGACCTCTGGCCGGGTGGCCCCTGTACTGGAAAGTACAAGTCTAAAGGATGATGCTATCAACATGATAGCCGCAAGAGTAAGTATCATAATGACTTCCATTTATTTTTGTACCGTGTGCCATGAACACTCTTTTTACACATGTTGTCTTTTTTGTTTGTTTGTTTTCGGAGACAGGATCTTGTTGTGTTGCCCAGGCTGAAGTTCAGTAGGGTGATTGTGGCTCACTGCAGCCTCACTCCTGGGCTCTAGTAGTTACTTATACTTCTAAAGTTCAGAACTTTCCTCAAAGTTACTGAAGCAAGAAAACATTTTGAGATACTGACAAGTTCCTTCTTCAGCCACATCATCCTCCTCAACTTTCACAGTTCATAGCCCTCACGGGGAGGGCTGGCATACTCCTTCGACTAGCATTGTCTGACAGAACAGTCTGCAATGGTGAAAATGTCCTATAGTTGCACTGTCCAACAGAGTAACCTCTGGCCACATGTGGCAGTTGTACACTTGAAACGTGACTACTGTGACCGAGGGATTGAATTGTTAATTTCCGTTTTCTTTTTTTAAAGGCTAGCCAAGTGAAGCAGTGTGAGTGGAAAAAGACTAAAGAAATCTGTAACTGGCTGTGATCAATTACTTGTAAACAGCAGTGCACTCAGACCAGCCTGATTTTTTTATTTTCTTTTCATTTAAATTAATCTTAATTTTAATCAAAGTAAATTAAATAGCCACATGTGGCTACTGAACTGAATAGTGCAGCAGAAAAGCTAGCAATTGTTTATTGAATGAATTATTTTAAGACCAATAACTGAAACAACAGTTCCTCATAAAAACTAAATTTTAAATTTTAAGCCTCCTTGGGGTTTGGGAGAGAAAAGTTCTTGTTTGGTTTTAAACAAAATAGCTTTGTATATCAAGAACCACAAACCCTGAAGACTGGAGCATGAAATTTATACCACAAGTCAGAGAGAAGAAAGTATGCATGATAAATTGAATGATTTTTTTCTTGCCTAAAAGGAAATAAGAGTTAAAACAAGGAAAGACTATTTCTAGAGCTTAGTTCTAGTGGATGCCTCAGAAAAGACGCTGGATAAATTGGAGGAGAAGGCCCCTTTTGCTTGGATCCTCTGTGAGGTGGCCTCCCAGGAAGACTAGCAGACCCTCAAAGTGGGGAGAAAGACCCCCACACATAGGTGTCCAGAGGGGTGCTGAATATCAGGCTAACCAGAAGAGGCCTGGGGTGGGCCAGCTCACCCACAGCAGAGATAAGGGAAGTGGCTGTGTCTTTCCAACTGCCAGAAGATGTGAACGCACCCCCAGAGACTTAGATCACCTCTTAGAGGATGGAAGAACATGAAGAGTGTCGTGTGAGGCCTAAACTTAAGGTCCAAATTTCGTGCTGCCTTGACTTCTGGCAAACTCGGGAGGCCTCAAATAGCGTAGCCACAAGGTCCCAGCTCTCCACTCTGCTCCCACAGATAAGATCTCCAGGTTTAACGACCCTCATTATCAAAGGAACCGGGTGCAATTCCTGCTTATTCCTGAGTGGCAGTTTCAGCTCCCTGCCAGACCACAGCATTATTCAAATCAGCCAATCCCCACTTCCTGTGTGAAGCAGGAAGCACCATACTCTCCTGATATTACAAAACCTGCCTCCCACAGCCCTTGCTTGTCCACTCTGTTCCCAAGTGGCCCTCTGTGGCGGGCAGTGTCCTCTTCCTCTGGATTGTGTCTGTGACTAATAAATTACCATTCATCCCATCTTTCCAGGGTCGGGTGTTGTGTGTTCGGCCATCTCCAAAACCTTAGGGCAGAACCCTTCCCTCTCCAGCAAATGAAGAGGAGGTGATTAAAAGAAAGGGGAAGAGAGAGAATCTTGAATTAACTGATTTTAAATCTCAAACTGATCACTTTTAAACTGCAAGTGTCACTCAGTGAGGTGGCATTGGAAACTTTAATCTTCTTGCCATCAGTAAAAGCTATTTTGAACTGCAGGGAACTCACAGGGCACATGCTAGAGTTTTCCTGCAGGTAAGAATATAATAAAACCTGCAAAGTGGCCCAGAGAAGCCCAGGCAAAAGCTTTGTTTCTCAGATATCGAAAACGAGGGCTCATGTGAGAGCCTGGGCTCCTGTATGTCTCCCAGGAATCCCCAGACAACCCAAACCACACTTTATTTTTAATTTTTATTTCTTTTTGTTTTTAGAGACAGGATCTCTGTTGCCCAGGCTGCAGTGCAGTGGTGCAACCATGGCTTACTACAGTCTCAAACTCCTGGCCTCAAGGGATCCTCCCACCTAGGCCTCCCAAAGTGCTGGGATGACAGGAATGAGCCACCACACCCAGCCATCAAAACACATTTGAATATCTGCATGTTTAGAGACAGTTAAGTAGGTGAGCATGAAAATAAAAATACATTCAAAAAAGAAGAGAAGGCTGGGTGCAGTGGCTCACGCTGGTACTCCCAGCACTAGGATCACTTGAATCCAGGACTTTGAGCCTGGCCAGATTTCACCTGGCCAACATGGTGAAATCCCATCTCTACTAAAAATACAAAAATTAGCTGGGCATGGTGGTGGGCACCTGTCGTCCCAGCAATTTGGGAGGCTGAGGCACGAGAATTGCTTGAACCTGGGAGACAGAGGTTGCATTGAGCTGAGATCACGCCACTGTACTCCAACCTGGGAGACTGAGTAAGACTATCTCAAGAACAAAAACAAAAACAAAAAAAATGAAGAGAAAACCAACAAACATTCAAGGACTGAGAGGCTGGTGTTGCTTTCTTTAGAAATTCCTTGGCGTACTCCTAAGGCAGGCTTGCTGCAGGAGAGTGTATCATCAGGATAACTCTTCAGCTTTTTCCTTTTCACCCTAATCACCCTGTAAATACCCAACACACACAACCTGAACAGCTCTGAAGAAAAAAGGCTGGCAAAATGTAACCAGTGGAGGATACAGTGGGGTGAACCATCTGGGTGATCCTCTCCAGAGGGTCACAGAAAAGTATATGAAACCAGAAACAGGACAATACATTCAGACTAGAGGCAATTTTCATGCCATATATTTTATACTGTGCTATAGAGTGCCTTTGAGGGACTTCTTTGCTTCCTTCTACCTCTAAAGTGCAAAGGAATTCTATTCCTTAAATTGGGAATGAAAAACTTTTTCTTAAAGGACCAGACAATAAATATTTTCATCTTGGCAGACCCTATGGACTCTGTGGCAACTATTCAGCTCTGTGGTTGTAGTGTGAAAGCAGAGACAATCCATACATGAATGGGCGTGACTGTGTTCCAACAAGGTTTCATTTATGAACATTGAAATATGAACTGCATACCATTTTCATGGGTCACAAAATACTATTCTTTCATACATTTTCCCCCAGCCATTTAAAGATGGGAAGGCCATCCTTAGCCCAGAGACCACTCAAAAATTGGCAGCAGTAGTTTGCCAACTCCTGACTTAAATAGATGAGATTGGATAGAACTGCTTTGTCACCCAAACATTTACTTTCAATGCAAATGATTAATTCACCTGGCATTAAAGATAAGCTCGATCCTTGGGCATTTCTTGAATTGGCTAATCAATAACTTCTGCAGGTTGGTGGACATGCCCAGAGATGAATGCTGGGCCTTAGTCAGTGTGATCCAACCCATTGGAGGACAGCTACCAATTTCCATCAGGCTTTTGGCTAGTAGAGGGGGGTTGAGAGGGGAGAGTGAAATGTTTTGTGCCTAGAAGCATGCAAATAACCAGTAACCCAAGCTGATCTATGCCATGGAGAAGTAGGAGCCAAATTTTACGTGACTTTATGGGGTTACCGTCCTGTCATCCGTGAGCCACTTCCTTCCTCCTCCTACACCTCACCCCCATCTGTGAAGCATGCTGCCGTCATTCCAGATTAGAGTTCCGTTTTTCCTTTGTGCATTCTGGGGAAGCCTTCAACTTACATAGGCAGAAAGTTCCTGCATAAACAGTCATATTTGCTCAGTGTTGGTGAACTCCAGGAAGGAACAAGGAACTGTCCCAAGCTTCCTATCTCTTTCCACTCTCTAAGGACTTTCCCTTGTTTATAGGCTCAGTACTAAGTAAGACAATCAAGAGGGATGAAATTTATCTTTTAGCTTCTCTTTTTCTCCTGGCTCTTGCCTTCTCTTCAGCATCCTTTTCTCTGTCCATGCTGCTGCCCAGTCTCCATCACAGCACTCGGATTTGGGGGTCAAACACACCTAAGTTCTAATTCTGGTCTGCCACTTACTAGCTGTAAATACCCAACACACACAACCTGAACAGCTCTGAAGAAAAAAGGCTGGCAACATGTAACCAGTGGAGGACACAGTGGGGTGAACCATCTGGGTGATTCTCTCCAGAGGGTCACAGAAAAATATATGAAACCAGAAACAGGATATAATCCCCTCCATTCCTGCAGACTGAGTGTGAGGACAAAGAAAGCCCTGGCAAAGCAATTCCAGGGGGTTTCTTGGAAGCGGAGTGGTTCCCCTGGGAGAACAGAACCCTTCATAGAAGAAATCCAAAAAGGACTTTTGGGGGATAGTTCTGTTTCTTCACCAGTATATAAAATCCGTGCAAATTCTTACCTTGGACTTTGAGAGCCCAGAGGGCTAATGACTGGCCCTCCTGATAACTGTTTGAGGCTTCACATCTCACCTGCTTGACTAAGCTACAGCTCAGGAAGCTATTTGTCATATAAAGAAAACACATGAGCCTGGTTTTTGTCCTGTTGAATTTACATTCTAAATCCAAGAATCCTCTGATGTCAGAGTAAAGAAAATAAAGAGTAGAAAAAGAGCAAGACAGTTCAGTGCAATCTCCACCTTTTCATTCTGCGTGGAAGCCCACAAGTGCAGAGAAAAGCAACTGTAACCCACAGGTAACAGCACAGCCCTCTGAGGTCCTCTCAGTGGCTAAATACTCACACCAGGAACTAACCCAAAAAAGGTAATTTTGACAATTAAAAAATAAGCAGAGACCCTCAGAGCTAACCCTCTTTCTTTCTCATACAAAACTTATTTATGCTGGAAACATTATGAATCTTAATTCAAGCTAATTTTTCCATCAGTGTCATGATTAGTTAACCAAATAAAACATTCCTTTTGTATGTGGAGTACTTAATACAAGGGTACCTACAAGACTAGAGGTAGATTGATTCACTTATAAATTGAACACTGGTAGCCAATTCCATTACCTTGAGAAGTACAGTAAAAATTCTGTCTTTTTGAAAGGTAAACAAATGTTGAAAAAATAAAACCCCTAGAAATAATCATCTTTAGAAGTACAAAAATGTTACTCCCAGCAGAACCCCTGTACGCTGAAAGCAGCAACCGTTATACAAACCGTTCTGAAATTACATTTGATAAAACCAGGAGTGTTATTAGCCAACAAGAGCATATTCTCACAGCTAGCCTTTGCGGCAGGTCATGTTTGGTAGCCATGGTGTTCTGGATCTGGCTGTGCCCGTGACTATTTTAAGTTCGTTATCTAACCTTGCCAAGAGTGGCCTCCCTAGACGGTCGCTCAGCAAACACCTGCGCAGCAGAACTTACTAGATAGGATTAGTGCCCCAGCCCTTACTGGATGAGATGCCTCACTGTAGCGTCAAACTGCAAAAACATAACCTCTGTGCGGAGGAGGAGTGCCTGGGCCTCCCAGGTGGGGTCTTGGGGGTTCTGGAGGCTGTCAGTCATGTTCTGCAGCTCTTGAAGCTCAGACCCTAGAAGAGGGACAACATTTTAGTCGGTCAGTGTGAAATATAGGCTACTATAGCTAAACCAGTAAACCAACATTTTGTCCCGTATTTGTCACCTAATCAGACTTCCATTGTTCTGTTTGTGGGTTATACTAATTATACGTTTTGCAAGACCAGCAAAGACTTATGCTCTAGAATGGAAGGTCTGATTTATCTCTCCTTCCTTCCTCAGGAAGATAAAAATTTGCTTTGCTTTTTGGTACAATAAGAGCAGGCTATGGAAAGATTTAAAATTTATAAGGCTATGGTCTTGAAATAGAACAAAAGGAAAAATGACAAGGAATAGAAAAGTATAGTCCTCAGTATATCTGTGAGGGACTTTAAATTATCAGAGATTATAAAGCAGCACTCATCTCTTATTGCCATGCTATCTAAATCAGCCCTTCCTGTCACTGTCTCATGGATTAAAGAAGACTCAAGACCATCTAAAGCAAGTAAAAAATAGATGTGCATATATATGTATATATAAATATATGCGCACATATGTATACATACACATGTGTATATGTATGTATACATATGTGCGCATATATTTACATGTGTATATGTATGCATACATATCCTTCTAGGATTCTAGCCATTTCAGGAGTAAATGAGAGGGATCCATATCTGGCTTGTTTCTTAGACCCTTACTGCAAGAGTAGGCGATGTATACATAGATTCATATGCATTTTGGGTAAATATTTAACTTAGGGGTCTTGCAGGGCACTCAGTGCTGGGATGTGGAACCCAGTCTGAGTCTGGATGACCATCCTATCATCCAGGTATCTATATCCTAGTTATTGGCATAGATAAGTAGTAGTCAGAACAGGAGAGCGCAGTGGAAAGTGACGAGCCCTCAGGGAACATGCTTGGGCCCACACTTACAGGGCTCCCAGAATGTCAGCGGGTTTTAAATACCCCTGTGAAGATAGCGACAGTTTTCTACCCCGAGAGGACATCCCTGTTATTAGAAGGATTGTGAAAACTGATCACTACGCCTCAACATGCAGTCCAAGGCAGGGGTGAGACAGGAAGCCCACAGGGCATTTCTGGAGATGCTCTATCTTGACAGCTGGTCCACATGCAAGCAGGCTTCTTTCCTCCCTAGCCCAATACTGGGCTTCAGTGTCTAACAACAGAGAAAGCAGACAGTTGTGGGTGGGGGGAAGCTGTCCATGAGAGCTTGATCAGGCAGATCCAGGGCTGAGAATGGTTACTAACACGTATAACATATGCTCTTGGCTTTCGGAACAGATAAGCAGTCCAGATTTCTATCCATTTGCTGTTTTATACAATAAAAAATGTGTTTTATTTTTGTTTCCAGCCCCAAATAATTGGGTTCAACAGCAAACTTTTTATGACTCCTCTAAATCTGATAATTCTATTGGGCTGAAGAGTTCACCAGAAGAGGAGCCATGTCAGAGCGAATTGTACAAGAACTTTTGTGGTAGTGGGAGGGAGGAGAGGTTGTCAGTGAGCCTCATTTGTTCAAGGCCTAGTGGGTTCAGTCTACAAGCAATATACTCCATCAAGCTAAGCAGTAACCAGGAGAAAACTTTATAATCCTCTGCAATGACAGTGTAAAAAGGAGAATATAAAATTACACATACCCTATGGTTAAAGCTCTGTAAAATGTAAATATGGAATATATTTGGACAGGGGCTAGAAGGGAGTAAAGATAAATAAAAATATTTCACTTGTTAGAGTGCTTTGCCTACAGGTGATTTTTTTCCTGTCATTTCCATCGTTTGTATACTACTGTTGATGACTTTGGCATGTGACCACCTCCCAGCAAGATTGTTGTATGCTGGTATGTGACATTATCATTAAAACACAGATGCGGAGGCTAGACTACCTTTCCTTTGTTATTTTACTGATCTTAAAATCCTCATTCTGCCTTTCTTTCCTTTGTGTGGTCAAGAGGCTTGGTAAGGGGAGGTGGCAGGACAAGCAGCCTGGTGGTGGGGACAGGGCAGAGGGCTGTTGAGGCAGTGATGGTGGTGGTGTTGGAGCGAACACCAGGAAGCATCAGGAAAGGAGCCTTTGCTTGTGTCTTCCTCGGGAGGGTCCTGTTTGGGAAGTCAGAGGAAGACAGACAGCCAGACAGCCAGAGAGAGAAAGAGAGAAAGAGGAGTCATAGTGGCCCTGTCTCTGCGTGAAGACTCAGAGCTCATACACTTCATTCCTTGTTTGTCTTGTGAGTTCCTGAAACCCTAAGTTCAGTGTGTAGTATTTGGGCTTTAATTGGCCTCTTTATGCTTTACAAAGGAAGTCACAATGTAAACGTCCGCATTCTGATTACATTCTCTATTTCACACAGGGACTTCGAAGCGAGTTGCTGGCTTTCAGGGAAGGAGAGAATTTGGCTGCATCCCCAGAGCTGATCCACAGTGTCTAAGAGCTGTTTTATTCAGTTGAGGGGAGGACCAAAAGCTGAAATCTTGAGTATCCCTCAAGATTTGTTTTAAAAATACTTTAAAGCATATAAGTCCACAAAAGTAATTTAAACCAACTAACAATTAGAACTAACAATTTAAATTTAACTCTAAATAGTTCTGAGATGGCTTGAAGGAACAGACTCTCATTTCATCTTTTCCCTTAGTTCTTCTTGCCTGCGCTAGGAAGTAGGCCAGGAACTAAGCAGCCTAGTCTTTTTAAAAAGATGATTATCTTGGACGGGATTTTTTTTTAAGTTTGCTTTTTATTTTGAGCAAAGCAGAGCATGCAAAATTGTAGATTCTCCCTGGAACACAAATGTGCTACATGACAATGCGTGCCTCTCTAATTGCATGCTTCAGAAAGCCTGGGCCCCACATATCTCAATGGCTTCTGGGTTCCCTGTGCAGAAATGGCAAGAGAACAATTCCCTTCTTCCCGAATCCTGGGTCCTCAACCTGGGCCTCACTTCCCACTGTTCGTTGGAGGCATATGTGTGGGTTGGTAGGCTCACTTCTCTGGACTGGCCACATGCAGTTCTGCCTGCTACTTTCGCCAGTGTCCTTTTCTTGCCTTGCTAGGGCTGTCCCTCCTATTAACTCCACTAATCCAAGTCCACTCCTCCCCAGGCTGGGCCAGCACCCCAGATCACCTCCCTGCAGGTTTTGCCTGGGGGCACCCTTCGCTCCCAGCTGCTATAGAACTTCCTGTGTAGTGACTTCTCTGGGAAACATGGCTCTGACTCTCTCAGCTTCTATCTCATCTCCATGGAACTCCTGCCTCCCCATCTCAAGGCCGGGCAGGGCATTTCTCTTGGCCACACTCCTTCTTCCTGTATCTTAGCTAAAGCTCAGACCCCACACCCTCCTGACAACCAGCGGCTCCCCTGAGAGGGTCTTAGCTTATTTTCTGAGTAAGCCCCACTTACGACAGTCCCCAACTAGTTAAAGGGAAGGACCTGGCTGGGCATGGTGGCTCACACCTGTAATACCAGCACTGTGGGAGGCCGAGGCAGATGGATCACCTGAGGTTGGGACTTTGAGATCAGCTTGACCAACATGGAGAAACCTCGTCTCTACTAAAAATACAAAATTAGCCGGGCGTGATGGCACATGCCTGAAATCCCAGCTACTCAGGAGGCTAAGGCAATAAGAGCAAAGCTCTGTCTAAAAAAAAAAAGGAAAGGAAAGGACCTAAGAGTACTTTGGAGCTTCTCTAATCTGATGCTTATGGTGGAGACTTGTGAGTCACTCTGAGAGCTCATTAGTTTGCAACAATTCTGTGACTTCTGCTGAGGCGGCACCACTACCACTCTCTCATCATCCTGCCTCTCCTAGACACAGGCATTGCCCTCCTCCCAGATCACCACTCATGCCCTTCCCTATGTCCACATCTACATGTTTACAGAGCCCTTCAGTGTTCCTTAGCACAATGCAAATATACCAGCCACCAGCTCCAAGGTCTCCCATGCACGTATTTCCTTTATACACCAACCAGCCAGAGGGGAATATCCTCAGATTCTCTGACATTTGTTTTAAGAGCATTTGGTTTAAATAGGCATGTTGCCTCATTTCTTAGGCTCTTCTAGTTCTTTAAAATCCCTGGCTACTATAATATTTTGCTATTAATTGATATTTACATGACCAGAGACATTATTTGGATGGTAGTCATATTATTAAGGTGAGATTACTCTCCCTGATTCTGATAAACATAGCTTACTAAACATTTCAGTTTTTTTTTTTTTTTTGAGGCAGTCTCATTCTTATTGCTCAGGTTGGAGTGCAGTGGTGCCATCTTGGCTCACTGCAACCTCTACCTCCTGGGTTCAAGTGATTCTCCTGCCTCAACCTCCTGAATAGCTGGGATTACAGGTGCTCATCACCATGCCCAGCTAGTTTTTGTATTTTTGGTAGAGACAGGGTTTCATCATGTTGGTCAGGCTGGTCTTGAACTCCTGACCTCATGATCCACTGGCCCCGGCCTCCCAAAGTGCTGGGATTATAGGTGTGAGTCACTGCACCCGGCCCATTTCAGTGTCTTTAATTCATCTTGCATGTTTATCTTATAACCTGTGTTGATGAGCACTGGGTGTATAAAACTAAAGCCTCAGTCATTCTTATCACAAGACTTTAGGTCACTGATAACTAACCAAGGGCTGTTTACAAGCTTCTTAACAGGAAGTGATTGGCTCTGACCTTGCCATGTGAGTTTATGAAGGCCAGGAAGGAAATGAGAACAAAAGAAAACTAATATTTAATGGGAACTTACATATCCTTCTAGAATTTTTACATGCATTTCAATCCACAGAACATCTCTATGACACAGGTACTATCACCCCATTTTATAGATGGGCAAGCAGAGACTCAGAGAGTAAAGTGCCCAGCTTTCAGTAAACAAGTGGCAGAGGCAGGGTAAGACACAGACCTCCCGACTCCCAGCTTGGTGCATTCTGTGGTATAGCCTGTGAATGTGGAATCAAGCAGATAGCTGTGCAGTACAGTTTGGACTTTTCCTTTGCCCTTCTGATCACTGTTATTTATGAGAATATATTTTAGTTCTGTCTTTCCAAGTATTAAGAGCTTCATAGAACTTCAAGTGAATGTTGAAGGTGATCTGAATCACCTTTAATCACTCACCAATGCCTTCAGCTCCTCCCCAGTCACCTCTCAAAGGATTGGGACTTAGAGGAAATTTAAAACATGCTGGACAATTGCCAAGCTTAGCAAACCTGACAAAGTAGGTCACAATATCATGCAGAGGAGCTATCAGCTGTAGAGTTTGCTTTAAAACTTTAAAAGCTGCCTATGGATAAAAGCAATACAAGGACATACATTTTAGGAAGTTTCTAAGAAGCATATAAACATACAAGAGTGCTGAATAGGGACACATCTTTAAACAAGAATATGTCAATAAACACTGTCACAGAATATACAGGATTATATCAGAAAAAGAAGAATAAACCTATACATGAACCAGGGTTACATGCCCTTGGACATGGGGACTCTGGCGGGGGGTTAAAGCAATGTGTTTCTTTGTTTAAAGTCATTGAAATCTATGAACACATCAAAATGTTTGTATGACCATCAAGGAATTACAAAGGTCACAACTACATTCATAGAAGGGACTCATATTCAGACAACATTATCTTGAGAGAGTACCTGTAAGCAAGGTATAGATATTTACCACATTGTTTAAACCAACACATGACTGAAAATCAAACCATGGATCTTATATATCAATGTCCAAGTGGAGGAAAAGTGAAAAATTATGATCTAATTGAAGAAGGTACTATTTTCATATTTTTAAAAATAAAAATCTAAAACTTCTTCAAATGAAAGTAGGAGTTTCCTGAGAAACAGGATTTTGCTTACAAAGAAAAATCAGAATATATCCCAAATGCCATTTTCAATACTGCCTTCTATTTCTTTAGCAAATACTTAAGTGTTTTATGTGTTTTTATGTTTTCTTTTTAAAAAAATTGTTACCAACATTGCCCTTGATCAGTTAGTGAGGTACATAGAGCACCCCTCAAAGAACAGTAACCCCGAGTTACAAGTGTAATATCAATCTATCATTAGCTTCAGAGCATCAGTGGGATTTTCTGGAAGAGTTGGAAGGAAATCGAAGATTAATAAGAAATGTCAGAAGCTCAAATTAGTGTTCACTAGTGACCAGGGAGAAAGAGAAATCATAGCATAGTGAGGCCCAAGGCAAATTATAATAAAGCAGAAAGAGCTGCTGTGAAAAGATTTCAGTGGTTAGATATCTGAATAAAACAAGGGGTGTTCTCTGGAATTGATATGTTTAACTGTGAGACAAAAACCAGTCAGTTTCCATTCTGGTACACATGCAAAAAAAAAAAAAAAATACAAATCTTTTCTGGCAGAGTTTTGAACGTAACCAGCACTTCAGAAGAATGGGGTATGAACCATAAACTGAGGAAGACTTTTCCATCCTCTGACAGCAAACATCGAGGTAGGGGCTGACATCTCCTGCAAGTGTTAGAAAAAGTACCCATAACACAGCATTTCCCTCTAAACAAGAGGCATCATGAATGACCCTGTTGAATCACCACCCTCCCCTCCGTCACACAGGCCTGTCACCACAGGCCCAGCATCCACACCCCAGAGCAGCCCTTTTCATGCTGCTCCCAGGTGGCCAGTTTATAAATAACTCAACAGGAAGAAGAGCAGTTAGGCTGATTTTAGCCAGAGCTATGTGGGAGAAGGAGTGGGGATGGCGGGAGGGAAAGGCTTGGTAAAAAAGGACAGGAAGGCCATGAATTAGATGGCCAACACCACACTAGGTGGTTCATATTCTATGTCACTTAATTCATCTGGCAACCTCAGGATGGATCTATTTTTGTTCCTCTTCCACAGCTGAGGAAATGCATGCGCTGAGAGGTTATGGAGATCTACCCAGCTCCTAAAAGATGAAGTTAGAATACAAATGTACATCTATCTCTCCAGCTGTAGAATCTGGGTTCTAGAACCCGGCTCTGTTTCTCTTCCCTTGCCACCACATTTCTTGCCAGGTTCTCCAGCTTCTGGCCTTCTTTTCCTCCTTTCTCCTCCTCCTCCAAATACCTTATTATTTCTTATTAAGGTTAGTCAACTCTTTGTTTAGTCATCTCTTTGTTGCAGGTTTATATACAAACATATTGTCCACATAGGTCTGGTTTAAGGATTCACACAAGCCCAGGTACCCACTACTTGGCCTAAGAAACAGGATGTTGCCAGCACTCTTGAAGCCTGATGTGCACATCCCTGGTGGCTCCCAGACGAACCACCATCCTGAGTTTTTTGTCTTGCTTTTCTTGGTGGAAAATCCTTGGTGCACCCATGCTGCTGCAAATGATTGATCTGTGGGTCGTTAGGTTGATTCCATTTCTTGGTTGTTGGGAGTAGTGCTACAATAAACATAAGGCTCAGGATTTTGATCAGTTAATTCTCAGCTCAGGAATAAAGTATGATTTTAGTTTGGAGAATTGCCTTTCTCTTAGCAACCACAAAGTCAGACAATTCCTGTTCTGAAACAGATCAAAACCAGCTTAATCCAGTCTCATCTCTATTATACAGTTCACAGTGTTCATTCCTGCCCAGAGGTAACAATGAATATCAGAAATAAAAAGCTGCAACTTCTGCATCTGAGTGCATGGACCTGCAGGCCACATGCTGGCGGCTGCTGCTAGCAGCAAGACTGAACCAGTTCTTGGCCTCTGAGAAGAGGCCCTGGAGCCACAGAGCCCTCTACCAAGTGCTGTCCTTTACTTCTTATCTGTCGTTTCCTGCCATTTCCGGCTGTGCTTGCAGCAAGCAGCCATCGGCTGAGAAGAGCAGAGATGACCACGGAAAGCTTTAGGTGCTCAGTACAAGAAACGTAGCCTCGTTCTCAGCCCCACAGGGAGACTTGCTCCTGCCCCTTGTGGATGGCCTGTCAGTTACCTGGCCTGGCAGTTCCCCAACCTGCTGAACACTGTCCCCTTTCATTCCCCTTCAGCTGACCACTTTAGGGCCACACCCAAGACTTTATGATCCTCTAAAACCATATCTGGCCTCCAAAGTCTTAACTTTCCCAGCCCCATATTTTATTCCTCCAGCTTTCTGAGTCATCCACTCCCACTAAACTTCCCTTCCTTTATTCCCCTAAAATAGGTTCCTTGACATCATCTAGTCCTCTGGTCTCCCCTTCCATTTGTCGGCTCCTCTCTGATCTCAGACTGGACCTTCCCTATCCAGACTTCGTCTCACAGTCAAGCACATGAACTACTCTCTTCCCAGCACCTTCAATTCTCTGCTGCTTTGTGGTCACGACCCACCTACCTGTCAAAGCCCCCCAGTTCTGGGTCTCTCCAACTACTCAGCTTTCTGTTTCTGAGTGCATGTTGCTAAGCACAGCTGGAGGAAATCACACTGCTAATTATACTGATGAAATCGTTTCCAGCCTGAGCGATGACACCCTGGAACAATCCTTTTCCTTTCCTTTGATCAGCTCTCATACCCATTTTCTTGTTTCGTGATTCCAAGCCATCTTTAAGGCTCCCATACCAAATTCCTGCCAGCAGATGATAACATGGTCTGCTATTTCTTGATCAAATTAAAGGCCAATGCTGGAATTCCCTCCCCTTCCTGATGGTCTATTTCCCCTACTCCCACCCCTAACACACACACCCTCCTTTTCAACCAGGGTCAAAGACAGAGGTGCACACCTGGATACAATATGAAGACCGCCTCTGCCCTCCATGCTCTTACCTTCCAGACGCAGCTGGCAAGCATGACGCTGTGTAGCAGCATGGCTAATGGAAGCGTATGACAGTGCAGAGGACGCCCAACAAGAAGCACCTGAGCCTCGTTGGGAGGCTGGTGGAAGAAATTCACAGCTGAGGCTTCTGAGCTGCAATTTCTCATCTCCCTCCATATCTCTCTCTCCCAATGGCATTGCCATCTTTTCCCCTCCATTAAAAAAAAAAAATTGTGGTAAAATATACATAACATAAAATTTACCATTTTTGCCTTTTTGTTTGTTTTTCAGAGCAGGAGTGGAATTTTATTTAAAAGGCTTTAGGGTCCTTTTGTGGCTCATGAGCATGATGATTGGGTGCTCATACGTGTGAGAGATGTGCTATCCTGGAAGGTTGTTACGATGTAGGCACATTACCTGTCTGACCTCAAACTGCTACTGGGTGAACCCCCGGAAAGGCAAAATATGTCACTCAGGACATGTGGAATTTCTGTGCCGTTTGTGTGTTGTGGGGAGAAACACCCAACTTCTCCCAATACATTGCAAGTCCTGTTGTATAGGCACACATTTGATGGCGCTGTATCTGCTGAACCCCTGGGAGGACAGGCACAAGACCAACACATTTCAGATTCGTTGGGCGACATGGCCAACCAAGTGCTCCTCACGCGGCCTCTGCTCTGGGCCCGCCAGGAGCTCGCACAGGCTCTCCTAGAATTTCCCGGAAAGCTGTTGGGCGGTGCGGAGGTGGCGGCTCCGCCCGTAGCTGCTCCTTCACCGGCTGTGCGGAGTGAGAGCGCCGCCTGTGCTTCCCGGAAACGGGCTTCAGCTCCTCTAAGGTCGTGGCGTAGCTGGACCTGGAGCCTGGGGCGAAGCCGGAGCCCAGGAAACGGTACTGGGCGATAGAATCGGGGTCGGGCGGGGGAATCAGAGCCGGAACCGGAGTCCGAGCCGGAGGGAAGCCGGGGCCGGCTGGGGCCAGGCTCTAAGAGGCTGCAGGGGTCCCAGACTGAGCGCAGCTCAACGCCGCAAGGTCCGGGACCAGGGAGGTCCCAGAGTCTGATGAGGAACCGGAATCCCAGTTGCTGGAGCAGGGGGCAGGGGCCACAGCCATGCCCGGGGTTGGAGGGGACGACCCACTCCTGCCAGAGGTGGAGACCCGGGAGAGCCTGTCTGCTGGCGCCACTGCCACTCCAGCTGCCTGGAGGCGCCGCTCTCCTTCCAGTGGCCGGAGTGGCAGGTGGGAGCACACTCCTGGATCTTCCTGCTAGCACCCATGATGCTGACGGCCGCGCTGGCCACTGGCTTCCTTTACTGGGCCAAGGACGAAGAGGAAGATCTGAAGGAGCAGTGCACCCAGGTGAGGAGCCCGGCCACGGCGGAGAGATGCTTTGTGCAGGGTTATTTCACCACCAAGATTCCCGCTGCCTCTTCCCCTCCAGGAGGTGCACTCAGGCGAGTTTCACCTGGATGTTGGTGGGCTCCCACAGCGACTCACTGCTGGAACTGGATATCTTTGCCAAGTCAGTAAATCCCACGGTGCAGGATCTGCGTGTGGCACAGGGAAACGGAAGCCACACCCAGAACAACAGGTGTGCGTGAGGTGCAAGAGGCTCTGTGTGCCGCCCAACCCCTTCCTGTATGCCTAGCAAGTGGACAAAACGCTCCACCGGAGCTACAGCCACAGCGAGGATCCCTCTATCTGATCGGCTTCTTTGGAGGACACATCTTGGGACAAAACCGGCCTAGGTAATGGGCCAGCCACTCCTGCAGGCCAAAGCCATGTGGCTGCTGTACTGCTGAAGAGCACCCTGAGGACAACGTGCAGAACAAGCAGTGGCTCACCCATTTCCTCAGCCAATTTAACAACATTAAGAACAGTTTGGCCTTGAAGAAAATTGAGGTACCTGGCAGTTCAGGTTTACAGGGAGGTCAGGAGAAGGTGGAGAAATGAGGAAGATTTGCTGCAACAACCCTAACAAGAGCACCACACGACTACTTGATGAGGTCCTTGCCTCACAGCTGGGTCTGCTCTACAGTATTTGGAGACAGAGTCTTGCTCTGTCACCCAGGCTGGAATGCAGTAGCACTATCTTGGCTCACTGCAACCTCCACCTCCTAGGTTCAAGTGATTCGTTTGCCTCAGCTTCCCAAGTAGCTGGGATTACAGGCGCATGCCACCACACCTGGCTAATTTTTGCACTTTTAGTATAGACAAGGTTTCACCATGTTGGCCAGGCTGGTCTCGAACTCCTGACCTCAGGTGATCCACCCTCCTTGGCCTCCCAAAGTGCTGGGATTACAGGCATGAACCACTATGCCTGGCCAATCCACCGTTCTTAAAATTAACACTGAGAGGTGCCAGAAATCATGAATCCTTGGTAACATTCGGATCAATAACACAGGTCCACCCCATGAGGCTGTTAGTACAGACATTGATGTTCATGTTTAATTTTGGGAGGTGGTTTCTAACCAAATTACAGAAATTTGAAATTCTACTTTTCTTGAAGTTTTTGTTGGTTTTGGGGAGCCCCCAAAACTTTCTGGGAGCTCACTGAGTATATTTTTTGTGGCAGGTGGTCCACTTTACATTGCTTTCCAGACAACTGGAATTTGAGACAACTTCCGTGACAGTAATCTCTTTGTTTCATGGGGCATACATTCTCATCACACTGTTTGCTAATCATACTATTGTTGCTGCAAGTTCTGGATCGAAAGTATCATCTGTGAGCCTCAAGAACAGGCTGGACTGGTGCACCCCACTCTCACTGGTGATGAGGATCTTCAGAGTGGTCAGCACATCCTCCTCTATCTTGACCCTGCTCAGTTCCAAGCCCAGCTGGCCATCCCAGGCCCCACCTCTTAGCCATTTTAGCCATTTTTAAAGTGTATATTGCAGTGGAACTTAGTACATTCATAGTGTTGTGCACATATCGCTACCATCCATCTCCAGAACTTTCTTTGCCTTCCAAAACTGAAAGTCTGTGTCCATTCAACAATAATGGCACTGCTATCTTTTCATTCACCCAAGCCAGAGATTCTGAGTGACATCCTAGTTTCCTCCTTCTCCCTCAGCTTCATATTATATCCGGCACCTGGCCTAGCTGATTTCACCTTCTAAACATCTTGTCTGAACAGTTTTAGTAGCTTCCTACATAATGTCACAGTCATCTTGCTCCACTTCTCCCAATGACCTGAAGGACAAAGACTTCTGGCTCTGTCCTCACCCCTCGATACATTCTACTTCCCATTGCTGCCTCACATACTCTGGATATGAGTCCTGCACAAGTCCACATGCTGTCTCTCACTTCTGTTCCTTTGCACATGCCATTCTCCCAGCTTGAACTGAATTTCCTTTCCCTGTCCCCCTGGAGCACTATTTGTCATTCAAGACCCAGTTTAAGCATCCACTCTTCCCTAGAGCCTTTTTTGCTCCCCATCCCCATCACCCCAATCCTTCAGATAATACTATTTCTTGGTGGGGGCTTTCATTAAACATTTATTTTACTTTATCACAGTGTACTATAATTACCTATTTCCCCTTGTTGGGCAAGGACCAGCACTTGGTTAGGCTGCCATATACTGTTGATCAGGTTGGGCCCTGAGGCAACAAGCAGTGGCCAAGATCCAACCTGTACTTTACTTGCTAGATGCTTTTCCCTGGTATGAGACTACACCTGCTCAGAGGAAGCGATGCTGCCTTCTAATTCGCATAAAGTAGCTGTTTTAGGGATGAACGTGGTTCTACTTGTCACAAAGTAAGGGCTCAATTAATGTTAGCCTCCTCTCTCTGTCCATCAGCAAATGCAGCCGCTCGTGGAGTGGAGTGGAGTGTCATCCTAGACGCCAGACTCCAGTCTCCTCTGGGGCCATGAAGGGAATGGAAGCCTCAAGAAACTTCCTGCTTAGGAAAAGGGCTCCCCTTGGCTCCTCCTCTACCAGGACAGGGGTGTCTTTGCTAAACTAAACACAGTACATTACAGCCTTTGCAGAATTAAGTAGCATATTAGAATTTTATGGGCTCTTCTGGGCAAGGACGGCAAACCCACAGCATGGAAGTTACCTTTCTGCCTTTCCTGGAGCATGGCAGACATTGCCAATCAATTACAATTACTCTCATAAACTCGAGATGCCTCAGAATCCTCAGTAGGGCTATTAATGCATCGTTGGAACTGAAGTTTAGAATAAACCTGATTTCTCATCCTCATTCTAACTCAACCCCTTATTTTATGAATGAGACAAGGTCCTCTTTCCTCTATGGCCCTCACTCCTCAACTCTGTCCCTTCATCTCTAGTTAACTTTGGCTTGGGATGATTCCTATTTATCATGTCCTGAGCAGTCTTAAAAATGGCTCCTTACAATAAAGTATTTCCTCAGCAGTCCTATTCCTTGGAATCGTGCTGTAGATAACTTAGCAGCAAGAATCATAACATGTTTAACTTCAGAGAGCTGCTTCTTCAATTTCCTCAGTCATTAGACAAAAAGATTGAGGCCCAGAAATTGAAGACAAGTGATTTACCCAAGACCACAGGGCAGCATATGACTGAGCTGGGCAAAGTCCAAATATTCTGACTACCAGGCCATGTCTCTCTCCACCACACCTTCTTGTGGCTGACATTTAATTTTTATTCGTCGATCCTCAGTGCATGGAACCACTGACTTTGGAGTTAGAAGAATCTTATATAGTGCTTTTCCAGACTTTCACATAAGACAGAATTTCCTTTCTCTACACTCTTTATTATATGAGTGTATTAAAAGGGCCATGTTAACATCTAGAGTGTTTAGGAAGCAGGAGATTGGTGTTGGAGAGAAACACTGAGCCTCTATCAGTTGCAGCTCATCTGGCTGACTGTGATTCAGGCTCTGAGTGGGCACTCACTTTGCTCATACTTTCCCCACCCAAGACCCTATCCTAAAGTTATCTCACATTAACTGACAAGATGATTGAGGGGTCCAGGCTCTCCAGCTTCACCATTTCCCTTAATCTTTAGAAAATACACAGCATCTATGAGAAATAATAAAGGAATGGAGCAAGATCTATAAGTTGGATTTTTCCCTCCTCTCCATATCTGGATCTACTTATTCGGTTGCTGCAAATGAAACAGATCAGAAATAAAAATGGACTTCCTAAATACATTTTATCCTAAACACAAATGTTGGTGAGTTCATGGTTAGACTTCCAGAAACTATTTTTAATCTTTAAATTTTATTTATTAAATTTTTTTACAGATGGAGTCTCCTGTGTTGCCCAGGCTAGACTGCAGTTGCAATTCACAGGCATGATCATAGTGCAGTTCAGCCCTGAATTCCTGGGCTCAGGTGATCCTCCCACCTCAGCCTCCTGACTAGTTGGGACCACAGGCATGCACTACTAAACTACTTTTAAAGTTCTGCACTGGCTAACTACTTTTAAAGTTCAATCCCAATTGTAGACTGGGCTAATACATAGTTAACTTGGCTAGAGGATGGAGCTAAGAAGTCTTAGAGGATTCTCCTGTGATGCTTCATATGAGAGAAAGATACACTGCAGCTTCACTGGGCAACAGGTATCTAGTCAAGCCCTTCAGCAAAATAGTCTACTGAAGTACCTTTGCCTCTACTCTTCTCCCAGATGCATTCTTCCATTTGGTAAATACTGACATCTACCCAAGTGAAAGCACGACTGAGCTCATGAAACCAAACACTGGTATCCATAAACTGGGCATTTCATAAGTATCAAGGTGGGACTGGCCACTATACTGATAGTTAGCTGTCTGTCAGTCAGGCTTACGGACTTCAGATTCTTTTCTTCTCTTGCATTCTGTAGCCTGTTCTATCAGCCCCATTATCTTGGTGAACTTCAACTTTCCTGTCACTTCATCTTTGAATGCCTCTGTGTAGCCCTGGGATAGAATGAAACACTGCCTCTTGGAATGTGAGCCCCGCCAAGACACCTATCTGGTGCCACACCACTGCACCCCACACCTAGCCCACGTGTATCCCATGCAACATTCCCTCACACCCCCACGCTCACGCCCGAATGGCCACCCTTGGCCCATGTGGCGTGCAGACCTGCTCACTTGTCGTTCGACCTACACCTCACTGTGTGTGCCCAGAACAAGGAGGCCCTGGTCCCCAGGAATGGCGAGGCACCACCTGTGATGACAGCATGTGAGATGACTGAAAGCAAAAAGCATGCTTGAGACCAGCCTGGGCAGCATGGCGGAACCCCAGCTCTATAAAAATTAGCCTGGTGTGGTGACACGTGCCTGTGGTCCCAGCTACTCAGGAGGCTGAG